TCATTTTAGATTTAAACACTGGGGTTTGCTGGAATGGAAGAAACGGGTAAAGGGAACAAGAAATGGCAGGAAGATATCTACTGGAGCCATTTTAACTGCATTCGCTTCATTTCCCATCTCTCTGGTGATTTTCAAAAGCAGCTCGTGAGTGCCAATCTTGATCTCTTACTTACTTTATCATTACCGTATGATTCATGGCCGTTTAGGAGTTTTAACCTGAAGTATGTACCCTAATCTCTCACAAATTTCTAACTTTGTAGCTTGAGCAAACCGTGACTGATTTTTTTGCTTACAAAGTTTTAATTTTGTGATCCTAGGCATGCTTAATTTCTTTTACAAAGCTCTGGCCTTTTTTGGGACAATGAGAAAAATGAAAAAAGAAAGAGAAAATTTGATGAGATTGTAATGTTAGAAGAACGAAATGAAAGCATGTAAATTATCAGTCCAGGGGTATTGCTCCTTACCTTACCCTTTTCCAGGATATATATGCTAGACTGGGTAAAATTTTTAGAAAGCTTTTATTTTTGAAAATGCATAGCAAACTTTAATTGTGGGAACAGTCTTTGGGGCTGTCTTTTGTGTGAATACTCATTTGTTATATACTTTGTGCCTTTTTGGGCTCTTCATCTTTTTGATTGAAGTGGAACTATATGAAAAGGCAATTTATCTTGCATGTGCTTTCTGTACATTATTCATAATTCTTCCAAGAAAATTTAAACATTCATAGCCTTTAATCGTTATGTATGTAGTGTTCTTCCTTGGTTTTTCCCTTGTATTAGGTGTTAGATCTGATGCAATATAAAGTATATTTCTCTATAAGCTGTAATGTGAATCTAAATTATGACTGCAGGCCATCCCCAGAAAATTTGCTTCTAAATTAAGAAAGAAACTCCCTGACATTGTGGTTCTTAGAGGTCCTAGTAGTTCTACCTGGAATGTGGGATTAAGTATCGAAGATGAGACTTTATTCTTCAAGGACGGTTGGCAAGAATTCGTTAAAGATCATTCCTTGGAAGAGAATGATGAATTGGTCTTTCAGTACAATGGTGAATCCTGTGTTGATGTATTGATATTTGATCAGTCCAGCTTGTGCGAGAAGGAATCTTCATACTTTGTCAAAAGATGTATATGTGCTGCTTCAACAGATGAGAGCAATGGTCCAACAAAGAGGAAAAAAGTGGAAGACACTGTAAATAATAGTAAGTCCAAGATAGTTTTGTGGTGCAATTCTACTTTACATTCTCCACTCAATCTTATCAGTTTGTTTTTGGTCTAGCACTAGTGGTAATTAATTTTTAAGGTATAACATTGTTTGAATGAACTTGTGGCTATTTTATGGTCAAGGGTAAGTGCCTTAGCAGAAACAAATGAAAGCATGTGGCTGAAGAATGTGTCAGTCTGCTGATTCTTTTGATATTCAGATGATTCAGAGAAAGAACAAAGGTCAGTAAGAGAAACAGATCTTTCGCACTCACGGTATCTCTCAAATAGAAGGGCAGTGACTCAATTGGAGAAAAATGTTGTGCTGTGGCAAGCACAAGCACTTGCAGCAGCAAAACCAGAGAGTGAGATGGTAGTTATGCAACCCACCCATGTATATGTGGAGTTCAGCCTGGTAATTAAATGTCTTGTTATGTTTTTGTGGAGGCCTTGATTTCTTATCACACAATAAAATCAGTCAGTCTGCATATTCTTTTCGGATGATTCATGCAGGTAATCTCTTGCAAATGGATGGACAAGAATATTAGTGTAGTAGACAAATATCTGATTCTACGTGTGAAGGAGAAAATGTGGCAACTTACATTGATACATGATACAAATCTTGGCACTTGGCTTATGTTTGGCTGGAAGGAGTTTGCACTTAGAAACTACTTGGAAGAGTCTGATGTTTGTGTGTTTGATCCTGCTGGTCGAAATCAAGATGGCATTGTCATTGTTGATGTAACAATCTTCCGCGTGGTGCAAGAGATAGTTACGCCAACTGGTGTGTAATCAAAGTCGAGCTATTACATAAGAAGCAACGGAAATGTTTTCCTTTAGAAATTTCTCACTTACTAACATATCTATAGATGCACTTTGATGCTATATATTTGCGGCCGGTCAGGCTAGGAACTGAATGTCTTTGTGCCTTGCTGAAATGGGTTTCAAACTCTAGGCAGGCTGCCTATTGAAATGCATGGAGGAAGGAGAAATTTCAGTAGCAGATTGGTTTGAATTACATCAAATTAATTAAGAGTTTGGATTTTTAATTTAGAACTCCTCACCCAACTGATGTGTACAAATATGATGTGCGTATATCATTGTGTTAGCACTCTTCAACCAACTATTACTGGTTACCAAAAATAAAACAAAATATAAAGTGAAGGACCAATTAGCAAAAAGGAAGTATGAGGCTTTGTAAATTTTGTAAAAGTTTGAGGACTTCTCTCCTATTTATTCCTTGAAGAAGCAAAAGCAAAACCCTTAAAAAATGGGCAGCATGACCCAACTCAACTTTATCGTTACACTCATATATATATTTTTATTTTAATTAATTATTATATATTTTAATTTATTAAAAATTAAAAAATATAACTTTTAAAAAAATATAATATAAAAATATAACAAATAATTATATTAAAGAAAATATGATATTAATTGTATAAGATATTACAATGGCTCTGCCCCTTCCATGTCCCACGATATTTGAAGTTTTCTCCGGCTGGTAACACACCATCTGCGTACTGATCAACGGTTGCGTTTTAGTTACAAAATTGTTGTGATTACCATGTAACGTGGCTATTAATTCTGACACCTGAGTTTTAACTAAGAAGTTTATTATATTTGTTTATTTATTTATTTTAATTTTTTTTGAACTTATTCAATCTTCTCCTTTTCGCTTGTTGGGAATGGGCTCAATGTTCAACTTGGGTAATGTACAATAAGCCCAGTTGTTTATCTCTAAACTCAAAATGAAGATATATTCATATGCCAGTTCAGACATATCCATGTGAGTGCCTATGCATGAACTAATTAAATGCTTACACGTATGACCTTATGTCATCATTCGGGCGCTATAAATACCCCTACCTACCTCTGCTCAAGGTAATTATTTCACTAAGCTTCTCTTTTTATAATTATTCTTGAGAGTTTTTCTCTCTAGAATATTGAGCATTTTGAGTGTTGTTAACTTGAGCGTCAGAGTGTTTTCCTCGAGAAAACCTCCTCAGGTTTTTTAGGTGTTGAAGCGACTGAAGATATCTACAGTATAGGTTCGTAAAGCTACCAAACATCGCTAATAACTAAATGTACAAAATATTAAATATATGTTTAGAGATTCAGGGCCTGTTTGGTGGAACTTCTAGGAGTTTCAGCTTTTTGACACTATTTATATTTTATAAATTTAAAATTTCCTCTTAAAAACTTACATTGTTAAACTTTTTTTAACCTTAAAAAAACATCAAACAGTAAAAAATCAAAAACTTCAAATCTAAGCTTTTTTAAAACCCCATTTTTACTCATTTTTTACTCATTTTTTATTCTCTTTTTCATATTTCTAAAAGCAACTTTTAAATTTTCCATCCAATAAAAATTTAAACTTATCACTCATGAACAGTACAAAAAAAACAAAAACTTCAACAAGCTCCACCAAACAAGCTCTCAGTGTGCTTCAATCATCAAGCAAGGTCCTCATAAATGAGAATGCATCAAACAAAATCTCTTTACTTGACATTGAAAAAGTTCAGCGATTTTTAAGAGACACAAGAATCAGAATATTAAACCCCTAATTTGGTCCATAAACTAAAAAATTTTTTGATTGGGTCCCTAAATTATTGTATGGATCCGCAATTTGGTCCCCTTATTATTTATCAATTTGCCCCAAGTTGATCTTTCTGTACAAAAAATAATTGATGTGTCTGTTACTTAATGATGAAAAACAATAACTTAATGATGAAAAACAGTAACTTAACGACAAAAAACAGTAATTTAATGACTATGTGTTATGTTAATAACAAGACACGTCAATTGGTTTTTGTATAAAAAGACCAACTTGGAGTAAATTGGTAAATAATAAGGACCAACTTAGGGTCCGTACAATAGTTTAGGAACCAAATCGGAGGTCCGTACAATAGTTTAAAGACCAAATTAAAGATTTAACCTAATTAGAAAATATCAAACCAGCCCTTCGGGTTTAGGTTATAGATGTTTCTTCTAATTTATGAATTCAGCTCATTCCCTTCTTTATCTGGTTGGACTCATTCTCTTTCCTTTTTTTTCTTTTCTAAAATTGCTCTTGTTAGAAAAAAAAGGTCAATAATTTACATATTTTAGTGATAATGTTTTTTTTATAAAAATAAAAAATTTGAATTTAAATCACATGATATATAAATAAAAATAGATTATGAGAGAAAATTATTTTTTATTGAACAATATATTTATACAAAATAAATCAAAAATTATATTTCAAAGAAGATGGGGGGAAAATTAATTTTGGATAGAATTTCCATAATTTTGTCTCTTTCCATTATTTCTTCTCATTCAATTGGAATAAATTTCTAATTGGTTTATTTATTTTGTGTTTGTGAAACACAAGTTAAGAAATAATTATTAAATAATAATAAAAAGTTCAGGAATTTTTAAGAGATACAATAATCAGAAAAAGAAAATAATTTAAAATTTTTAGTAATAATTTTTTTATAAAAATAAAAAATGTTAAGTTTAGATTACGTAATATTTAAATGAAATAGATAAAAAAAATAGTTCTTATTATACAATATATTTCTAGAAAATAAATCAAAAATTAGATTTCGGAAAAGCCGGAAGGTAAAATTAATTTTGGATAGAATTTCCATAATTTTGTCTCTTTCCATAATTTCTCCTCACTCAATTGAAATAAATTTCTAATTGGTTTATTTATTTTGTCTGTGAAACACAAATTAAGAAATAGTTATTAAATAGGAATAATTACTATTTATTTTCAAGGGGGGCAATTTTTTTTATTAATTTTTGGTATCTGATAATTACATTGAATTTCAATTAATCTCAAATCTAGTTAAGTTAAATTTTATTTTTTTATTTATAAGATTCGAAGTTGAGACTTTATTTAGAAAAAACTAAACTCTTTTTATTCCAACTAATCACAAACTTGATTTTTATCTTAATGTAAGTTTGTTATTATAGTTTTTTTTTTTTTGAACATTTTTGTTATGAGACCAGCTCGAACCGTTACCCTGAAAGAGGGGGATATGAATCTTTACAAAGGTGGCTAGAGCCACTTAACCCGAAAGACCAAGTTCAAGTTTGTTATTATAGTTCATTTTAAACCATACCAGAAATTGCATCGTGAACTAAAAATCTTACATTTTCAGAGAAAAAAATTACGACCATTACCTAATAAATGCTTTTATCCTGTGCCCAAACCCATTTCTACGTTAAGACTTAAGAGTCTCAAATGCAATGGCTGCATTGTCTCCACTCCAGCGAACTAAAGGAGTTTTATTATTGCCATCTTTATACCTACACTAGACTCATGATTTAATTGTCACTTCAATTTATAAATCGTCCAGAACCCGCTTCACGTTCCACAGTTCCATTTCACACTAGTCGACTCCGCTGGTGTTTCCCATCGGTGTTTTTGCATCTCTTCGTCTTCTTTTCTTCAATTGGTGGTGGTTGGTTCATACTTTCAGGCAAGTGTATAAGTCAAAACATTTTTTGCCCTTTTATTTATTTATTTATTTATTTATTTTTGCTTTTGTTGGAACTGAATTATATTTGGTTCATTAAAAGCTCTCTTCTTGCTGGGGGTACCAATTTTTTTGCTTTAAAAAATATTACTAGGGTTTGCTAGAATGGAAGAGACAAGCAAAGGGAGCAAGAAATGGCAGGAGGACATCTATTGGAACCATTTTCACTGCATTCACTTCATTTCCCATCTCTACGGAGATTTTCAGAAGCATCTTGTGAGTGTAAAGCTATAAAATGCATATCCCTCTTACCTTTTCTTTGGTTTCATGTTTACATATTTCCTGAAATCTTGTGAAATTGCAATAGGAGATAGAGTTAGGGCCAAAGTCCCATTTTTGTTGCACTATCACTGGGTTTTGAGCTGAAGTGTATGGCTTAATCACAATATGGAATTTCTACTCTTGTAGCATGATCAAAGTTGTGATCACTTCTTTTTGCAAAATAAATAAACTATGATTCTGGGATTGGAACAAAAAGGCCCAGCTTTTGAACCAAAAAGTTGAAATCTTGGGAGCTCATGCGTTTTTTCATTCCTATAAGGCAATTGCCTTTGTTTTGTTTAATGAGAAAATCGAAGAACAAGGGAGAGAAAATGTGATAAAGTAATTAACTTGATTTTGGAAGTGGCTGAAAGAATATAAATCATCAATCCAGATGGTTTTGCTCCATATCCTTTGCCCTCTAATGTGGGATAACAGCCTTTGGGGCTCTGTTTGTGCTGTTATTGTTCTCTGTCTCTTGGTTTGAAGCAGAACTATAGAAAAGGAAAATTTATTTTGCTTGTGTACACTTTAGTCCAGCACTTGCAGTAGAGTAGCATAATTTATTTAAGAAAACCACAATTCTTATCATCTTATCACTATGTAGTTAGGTTTCTACCTTGCCCTTTGTTTTTCCTTCTAATTTTTCAGGTGGTAGATACGATGCATTATGTGGTATGTTTTTCTATATGCTGCATATCTGTAATGTGAATTTAAATTTTATTTGCAGGCCATCCCTAGAAAGTTTGCTTGTAAATTGAAAAAGAAACTGCCTGAGAGTGTGGTGCTTAGAGGACCTGGCGGTTTTATGTGGAATGTAAGATTAAGTATGGAAGGTGACACACTATACTTTAATGATGGTTGGCAAGACTTTGTTATAGATCATTCTTTGCAAGAGAATGATACATTGCTCTTTGAGTACAACAGAGAATCCCGTTTTGACGTGTTCTTGTTTGAGCAGTCAAGCTCATGTGAGATTGAATCTTCATACTTTGTTAAAAGATGTTTAGATGTGGATGCAACAGATGAGAGCAGAGACCAAACAAAGAGAAAGAATAGAGAAGTCATTCAAATTGATGGTAAGTTCAAGATGGTAATATGACATGGTTATTCTTTATTTTCTCCACTCAATTTTATTTATTTATTTATTTCTTGGTATGGCTCTGGTACTAATAAATTTGTTTGGGTAATACAGGTGAACTCACAATGAATCTTTTTCTTTCATGTTGCTACTACTTCATTTTAGATACTGTTTAAATAAACTTAGGGCTATTTTATGGTCAAGCAAGTGTAAGTGCCATAGTAGAAACCAATGCAATGATGCATATGGCTGTAGGATATTTCAGTAGCCTGGTTCTATTGATATGCAGATGATGCAGAGAAAGAACAAAAAACTGCAAGAAATAAAAGGGTTTCTTATGTACGGTATCTCTCAAATAGAAGGCCAGTGACTAAGGAGGAAAAAGATACTACTTTGCAGCAAGCACGTGCAGCAGCAAATCCTGACAGTGTGGTGGTGGTTTTGCAGCCCAAGCATGTATATGTGAAGTTCACCATGGTAAAATGTTTTCTTTAATTTTGATGATTGTTTCATCTGTCTTTTCCAATTAGAACTGAAATGCCTGTTATGTGTTTGTGGAGGCGTCACGATCTGATCAATGCAATAAATTTGGTCTGCATATTCTTTTGGGGTTGCTTCATGCAGGGATTCTCTCACAAATGGATGGGCAAGCATATTTCTTCAGATGACAAGTTTCTGATTCTCCGTATGATGGAGAAAATGTGGAGAATTTCATTGACACATGTTCAAATTCTTGATTCTTGGATGCTTATCTTTGGTTTGGAGAATTTTGAGCTTGGCTGGGAGAATTTTGCACTCGGGAACTACTTAGAAGAATCTGATGTTTGCGTGTTTAATCCTGCTGGTCGGAACAAAGATGGCATTTTCATGGCAGATGTTAGCATCTTTCGCGTAGTGGAAGAGGTAGTTGCACCAATTGGAGTGAAATCTTAAGTACTGCTACTTAGGAGCAAGTGACAATTTTTGGGTGCTTTCACGTCCTGTTCTGGCCGTTTCATCCCACGTATTTGGACTTTTGAGACAGCCAACTGAATGCTGCCATTTCTTTGTTTTTGACTGCTGCAAACTGTGAGGGAAGTCAGTTTTGAACTACATTAAGATCCGAGAAATGGTTGTCTTGGTGGACCACAGGTGTAATTGTTATATGGATTGCTTGTTAATGCAATGATCTTTTGTGAAACCTTATTAACTTTATCATTGCTGTTCTGGATTCTGGAAATACTCATGGGTTCAAGAAATAGAATACAGGAAGTGCCAGGATTACGAGTGGAATATGAGACTTTATTCTTTTCAGCACCATACAATCCCACCTTCTTAATATCTTCCATGTTCTGAATTTATCCTATCTTTTTGGCAAATAAAAATTTAGGATGATATGAGGGTATCCTACAACATGGTTAGAATATATAACTTACCTCAATGGAGGTTTATTATTTATTCACGTTAACAATATGACTGGAACTTTAAATTTAATTATCAAAAAATTTAAATCTTACTAATTGAGTTATTGTTGTTGACTCTTCAAAATTTATTAAGCGTAACTAAAATTTTAGAAGTTTTATTAAATATAACACCACATGATATGATGTACATCTAGTGAATGTTAAATCAGCCAAGGTTTCTTCATTTCACATCTAAAGAACAAATGTATATCACCATATTGATTGATATATATCCCATTGAATAAAAATATTAAAAACTTTA